AAGTCAGCGACCCCGGATACTAGCAAGGAACGCGAGGCCCCAGGAAGACGTGCCGGGTTGGGCTCGTCGAATTTGGAAACCCAGCGCCAGAATGTGCGCGATGCGATGATGCAGCTGCAGCCGCCGACGAGGGATGAGATCGTTCGGACGCTCTTTGTTGGGGGCATTACGGAGGGTGCTGGTGGCGATGAGGGTGTTGAGAGGATTTTGCGGTCTGCGGGGAATCTTAGGCGCTGGATCCGTGCTACGGATGCGGATGAAAAGCCGTGCAAGTTCGGTTTCGCTGAGTACGAGGACCCCGAGAGTCTGGGTACAGCCGTGGAAGTACTAAAGGACGTCGAAGTACCTTTGAAGAGACAGACGCCGTCGGAGGGCGGTGACAAGGAAGATAGTGAGATTGAGAGAAGCCAACTACTGGTATGTATTATGCATGTGGGGAAGTTACGAGTTGATTCTAACGGTTTGGTTACGTCAGGTTGTCGTTGACGAGAGCTCCTTGAAATACCTAGAGCAATATGAGGCTAGCAGAGGCGAGGAGGACCCCGCGGAGCGGCAATCCCGCATAGATGCTGCGCGCTCGACTCTCTCCAGCGTCCTTTCGGACTTGTTCCACCCGTCATCGCCCACCCAGAAAGAGGATGTTTCGGCGATTGACCGTGAAGGGGACACTGCGATGAAGGATGCAGAGGGCCAAGATGGCGCATCGGCAGAAGTTGTCACTATCCCCATCACCGTCGAAGATGAGCTATCTGATATCCCTCCAGAAATGAGGGAAACGGTTGCTAAGGAGATCGCAGCTTTCCGTGAGAGAAGCAACCGTCGGGATATTGAGCGTCTGAAGAGAGAGGAAGAGATCGAGTCCATGGAACGAGCACGTAACTCAGGCTCTCGCATCAGCCGCCTAGCTTCCCCCCCTCCCTCGGCTCCAAGCGGACCCGCTGCTGGGGCAAACGGGATCCCTCTTGGTCCTCGGGACCGCAGCATGCCAAATGCGCCATCTGGCCCGAAGGGTTTTGGCGTGCAGATCCCGAAGGATTACCAGAAGGGTGTGACATTTGTGAACGGCGGTTCTGTGAATGGCGCTCCAATTTACATTGATCGTGAAGATGAAGAGTCCGATGCGAGCGATGAAGAGCTGGAGCGTCGCCGCCAAGAGAAGAAGGATGTTGAAGCAGAGAAACAATTCCTCGATCAGGAGCGACGCTGGCTCAATCGCGAACGGAGCAGGACTGCCGCCTTAGAGCGAGAGAAGAAGCGGGATAAGGAGGAGGAAGCCAAAATGCAGGAAGTCCGCGAAGAAGCTGATAAGCATTTCGGGGAATGGAACGATGATGCGGAGGCTAGCCGTAAGGCTCACGACTACTACGCGGATAGGGGCGCGTGGTTGCGCAGTCGTGCAGCTTTCCGAGCACGTGAGGTTAGTATGGACGAGGCCGACCGAGCTGCCGAAGAGCGAGAGCGGGCTCGCTCTGTCCAACAACGGGAACAAGCACGTGGTATGGCAGACGACTTCCTTGCTCGCCAGGCAGAGGAGCTGGAGACTCGGACTCAGGCCCCCAGAGAACCCCAGCGCTTCAAGCTCTCCCTTGGAGCTGCGGCACAGAAGGCTCAGGCTGCAACCAGCCGCCGGACCGTTGCCGAAGTCGAAGGATTGCTGGAAGACGAAGAAGAGCCGGAAGCCACGGCAAGACGTCCTCTCATCCCGATCAAGTTCGACAGCGCTGCGGAGGCTGCTGGGCTCAGCGAGGAGGAGCGGGCGCAAGCTGCCCGACAACTGGCCGCCGAAATTCCCACCGAGAAGGAAGGCTTGTGGAACTGGGAAGTCAAGTGGGAGTTTGTGGACGAAAATGTGGTCAGCGAACAACTCAAGCCCTTCGTGGAAAAGAAGATTGTCGAATATTTGGGAGTTCAGGAGCAGATGCTGGTGGATGTGGTGGAAGAGCATGTTCGAAAGCACGGAAATCCCCAAGAGCTGGTGGAACAACTGGAGGAGGTGAGTATATCTTCATTACGGTTTTGTTTTTGCCGATCTATTCCTGTGTCTAACTTTGGTTTCCTAGGCTCTCGACGAAGAAGCAGAAGTCTTGGTGCGGAAGCTCTGGCGAATGATCATTTTCTTCTCCGAAAGCGAGAAGAGAGGCCTATCTGGTTAGAAGACCTCTGGATGCTGGGCAAAGCCCAGATCGGACCGGGTCAATCAAGTCTAGGGAGGGTAGCAGTCTTGTTTCACGACACCACATTATTACTACATCAAGGTACCAGTACTTTTAAATTGATATCCGCCTTTTGGAGGCACAAACTACATTGCATTCGGTATATGGAATGTTTGCAGGCTTGTCTGTCGCTAGAGCATGTAAAAATAGTTTTACGGGACTCATACCTATTGAAGGCTTGTACACTACTAAATTGTAGGCGTGATACATGTAGAGAGGTATATCTACAGCCGATCGAATGCACGGAGGGAGATCTGCCGCAGCTGGCCGGCATTACGAACCGTATCATTCTACTACAGTACAATCAGATGGCTGGTTAATGTAATCAGGAACACGGAGGCGGCCCGACTGAAATCGCACACGCTGAGTGGTGGAAGAATCGCACCCATGGGGTGGAAGAATTCCTCCGCCAATGACGGTTAGTTCCCCACAGTATCGGGAGAATTAGTCCAGCGCAATCCAATGTATTTCCCTTTTTAGCCTGGAGGGGAGGAGGGGTGAGGGCCGTATATCTTGCGCCTTTTGCCCCGTCTGTGACTTGGATTTTTCCTTCGTGTTTATTTCATTCCTTGCGCAAGAGATATCTCTGCTCAGTTTCTCTGTTTGGCTTCTACCTGGACTTTGTATAGATCGCTCTTCGTTTCATACACTACATTGTATGACCACCCCCGCATCTTAAAGAAAAAGCGATTGCAATTCTTCCGCCTACGACTAGAGCTTGAGTCTTACTTTGAGTAGCTCAATTGGCCCTCTGTTCCTCTCCGTCTATAAATATACCCTACACAATGGTGAAAATCACAGGCTTCACTACCCGGGATGTGCGGTTTCCGGTAAGTCAGAGGCTGCTTCCAGATCCGATGCAACTACTCTTCAATTACTGACTCAAAGAACAGACATCCCTGGACAAGACTGGCTCCGATGCCATGAATGCAGCGGGCGACTACTCCGCAGCCTACTGTATCCTCTACACTGACTCCCCGCACGCAGGACATGGCATGGTATGTGGATCATGCAATACCCACCGCAATAGCGACAACACTAACACCTCCCATCAATAGACCTTCACCATCGGGCGTGGAAACGAGATCGTCTGCGCCGCCATCTCCCTTCTCGCCCCACTCGTCGTTGGAAAGGACCTGGACGAGCTCACAGCCAACTGGGGCAAGACATGGCGCCATCTAGTATCCGACAGCCAGCTGCGCTGGATTGGTCCTGAGAAGGGTGTGATCCACCTTGCCCTGGGAGCTGTCGTCAATGCACTCTGGGACTTGTGGGCGAAGACACTCGGCAAGCCCGTCTGGCGGATCGTGGCGGAGATGACCCCCGAAGAGTTCGTCCGCTGCATTGACTTCCGGTATATCACTGATGCTATCACTCCTGAAGAGGCCATTGCATTGCTCAAGGAGGTGGAGGGTGGCAAGGAAGAGCGTATCAAGGAGGCCGAGCAGAGCCGTGCTGTGCCTGCTTACACGACTAGTGCCGGATGGCTGGGATACAGCGAGGAGAAGCTGAAGGCTCTTCTACGTGAGACCGTTCAACAGGGCTACAGGCACTTCAAGCTGAAGGTTGGAGGTAATATCGAAGACGATAAGAGGCGGTTGCGCATTGCCCGTGAGGCCATTGGCTATGACCAGGGTAACATTCTGATGGTGGATGCTAACCAGGTGAGCCGACCATTATCGAAACCTATCTCTCTCTCTTACATGATTAACTAACTGTTATGAACAGGTCTGGTCTGTGCCTGAGGCTATCAGCTGGATGCAAGAGCTCGCCGAGTTCAAGCCCTGGTTCATTGAAGAGCCCACCTCCCCCGACGATATCCTCGGCCACGCCGCTATTAAGAAGGCACTCGAGAACACCCCACACGGCCCCATTGGCGTCGCCACCGGAGAGATGTGCCAGAACCGCGTGATCTTCAAGCAGCTTCTGCAGGCAGGAGCCTTGACTGTTCTCCAGGCTGATGCTTGCCGTGTCGGCGGTGTCAACGAGGTCCTCGCTATCCTCCTGCTTGCTCGCAAATTCGGTGTCCCTATCGTCCCTCACTCGGGTGGTGTCGGCTTGCCTGAGTACACTCAACATCTTAGCACGATCGACTACGTGGTTGTGAGTGGTAAGAAGAGTGTCCTGGAGTATGTCGACCATCTGCACGAGCACTTCGTGCACCCCTCCAGTGTCAAGGATGGTTACTATGTTACCCCCCTGGAGCCTGGATACAGTGTGGAGATGAAGCCCGAGAGTATGGAGGAGTTTGCCTTCCCTGGTGAGCAGGGCAAGAGTTGGTGGACGACAGATGCTGCGAAGACAATCCTGGAGGGTCCTCGGATATGACGAGACTAAAGCTTGATGTATACGTTTTATGTTTCTCATGTTAATCTTTATGTATTGAAAATAGCCATTGCATTGTTTGATTTCCCGTGAAATTGCCGCTAAGCTCTCGTGGACTTGATATGCTGGAAAATGCTTTATGAATACATGCCCAAGTATGGGTTTTCTATAGTACAACACGGGTGTAACTGTGGTGCTATGGCATAAAGAAGCCATAGGAAGACACAACCCACCCAAGTATAATGACTTACGTCTGTTACAAGCTTGAAGCTATCCTTTCAAACTTGAAGACCATCGGAGAACCAAATGACAGGAACTGATCATGTCGACTGGTTTGCGTCGGCTGAAGACGGCAATATCTAGCTCGCACTTCCGGTATTGGCCAGCCAGTGTAAAAGAGGACTAATATATGTCAAGGTTGCCTGGCAAAGCACAGATATTGTATTTTGACAAGGGCTTGGTCTATCGCCACTGTATGCCAAATATCTTCAATGCTTGTCCGACTCCAGGCTTCTCGCGAGCTTGCTCAAGGATGACTCGAGAGTGACCTGCGTAAAAGTCTTAGCTTGAGATTGTATATGTCTGAGATTATTTATTACTTACCCTTAACATCCAATGCGAGAAGCTGATATTCCCACTCGTTCTTATCAAGTGGCTTAATCATGTGGACGTGTACAATTCCTTGGTTACGTGGCCCCTCAACCTGCGCGGTGACAGTTAGTCATGCACGTATCATCTTAGGAATGGCGCAACGTACATGGAAGTTCATTCTCATATGTTCGCGACCTAAACGATCCTTCTCGATGGAGGTTCTTTATACGAAGTTAGCATCTCTGATACGTAACGAACCGAGAAAAACAGGGTACTCACGCGATAGGACGATTCCGCGCCCATTTATTCGAAGTGCTTTCTCCGTATGCCTTGATTTCCCTTCGGTCTCCCAGAATGTCCGTACACCGAGTGTCGTCCAAGATGCGTTCAACTGCCTTCTCGTACTGCCATGTCCGGCTATTCGGGGAGAAAACCTCTGAGTAAAGCAAGTAACCTACACCACCCTACCCATATATCAGTTCTGTATCCAACAGGCATCTTGAATGGTCCATGAGCAAGAATGTTGCCCACTCGGATCTCACTAACCGTCAACGCCGCACCAACCAATATGATCACAAAGTTGAACGACTGCTGAGTAGCGCGCGCAACCTTTTCCCGGCCCGACAGTTCTCCCCATTCATATCGCCCATCATCGGATAGCACGGTCACATTCCTCCGTCTCGGGGTCGAGCTTGGCCCTGAGCCGCCCCCGAGATCGCCGTGAGTCGCATAGCACCGCGTCAACTCGACCGTGCGGGGAAATCCAGGGCGCAAGAGCAGGGCAGACGAGGCCCGGGTCAAGGAAGGTCTGGGTAGGAGGTATGCACTCATTGTGGGATATCGAACATCACCCGGGTTCCCGTCGGATCAAAGTGTATCGCACGGCAGTCGTGAGCATGGGAGATTCGAGCACGAACTGCTGAATGATCTCATAAAATTCCATGTGCTGAGCCGTGGTCGGCATTCAATGAGACTCGGTCCATGTGGGGAGACGGGTGGGTCACGTGGATGCCTTCCGCTCTGGTGAAAATTTCCGGAAGGGTCCGAGTACAGCTGTAATTGCAATACGCAGTGCGAACAGAAGGTGTGAAGACATCCATATTTAGCCTTGTATCTGATACCATTGCTTGGCTTGAACGTATTAAATGTGGATCCTATTGAGATGAATACAAGGGTAAGACATCTTTTTTGCAAGGTTTCAGAATTGGGTCTATCATCTTCCCCTTTAAGCACGGCGGCAAATTTAAAAGTTACAGTAATTTGTAACTTCCGCCCGGGAGTCCAAAACGATTCCGACCACGTTCGTTCTCCCGATTGCATTTTGGATCCCTCTTCCTCCTCCCTGGACGTCCTGACATCCTATACCGTCTTTGTTTCTACTTCGTTCAGGACCCGTTTCGTCCGACTCGTCTCACAATGAGTGCCACCAAGGCGGAGTCTCAAAAAATATTTGAGAAGCTCAAACTAAAGCCCGCAAACAAGGTGCGCGCAACCCCTCCCCACCGGTCTAGAAATTGGCCAAGTTCGCTGACTTCAGCCTCATAGATCTGTTTTGATTGCGGCTCCAAAAATCCTACATGGTCGTCGGTGCCTTTCGGTATCTACCTGTGTCTCGACTGCTCGGCCCACCACCGTAACCTGGGTGTCCACATTTCCTTCGTTCGTTCCACAAACCTCGACCGTATGCACCACCGTCTACCCCAGATATGTCTTCAGTTTTGGTACTAATGGATGCTTGCAGAATGGCAATGGGAGCAACTTCGGCTTATGAAGGTTGGTGGAAATGAGTCTGCCACCAAGTATTTCCAGTCGCATGGAGGTTCCGCCGCCCTGGCTAGCAAGGACACTAAGGTCAAGTATACTTGCAATGCTGCCGTGAAGTACAAGGAAGAATTGAAGAGGCGGGCTGCGCAGGACGCCGAGCAGTATGTACCATGTTGTCTATGCATATCACTCTACTACTAGATGCTTACCTTGCTTTTCTTCACAGATACCCCGAAGAGGTCGTGATTACGGACGTTCCCGCTGGCACCCCGTCCAACGGCTCCAGCACGCCTGCCGGCGATGCTGACGATGACTTCTTCTCTTCCTGGGATAAGCCCTCGATCAAGCGCCCAAGCAACCCTCCCTCACGCACAGGAACCCCCCCGGTGGTTAGCCGCACTGCGTCTCCATTCTTGAATGCAGGTGCAAATGGCTCGCGCTCCAAGTCTCCCCTTTCCGCCTCCGACAAGGAAAGCTCTCCTGCCCCCGCTGCTATCAGGGCTAGCACGACTGTCCGGAAGACTACGACGGCTAGTTCCGCAAAGAAGGGCAGTGTGTTGGGCGCCAAGAAGGCACCCAAGTTGGGGGCTAAGAAGATCGGCGCAGCTGAGGCCATCGACTTCGATGAAGCAGAAAGGAAGGCCAAGGAAGAAGCCGAGCGCATTGAGAAGCTTGGATATGACCCTGAGGCTGAACAGGCCGAGGCCGAGGCCAAGGCTAAGAGTACGACTACGGGAGCTACGCCTATTGCCGCCCCCACGCCAATCAGCCCCAGCGCCGCCAGAAAGTCCCACGAGCGTAACTCTAGCGATGTAGAGCGTCTGGGAATGGGCATCGGACGTCTAGGATTTGGCCAGACTGCTGGTTCGAAACCTGCCGCTCCGAAGAAGCTGGGCTTTGGCTCGGTCGCTCCTGCTCGGTCAGCTGCTGATGGTGTGTTTACTATTGTCATCTTCGAATTAACTGCACATGCTAACGGATCATACAGAGGAGGAACTTAGCCAGACCAAGTCCAGGTTTGGTGCCCAGAAGGGTATCTCGTCTGATGAGTTCTTCGGCCGTGAAAGATTCGATCCCTCAGCCCAGGCCGAGGCTAAGGAGCGTCTCCGCCAATTCGATGGCGCCACCTCTATTTCCAGCAACTCTTACTTTGGCCGACCTGAAGATGATCTCCCCGCTGGCGATGATGGATACGGAGACCTGGAAACTGCGGCCAAGGACTTTGTTCGTCGTTTTGGCATGACAGCAGGAGACGATCTCGAGAACCTTACACAACTCGTCGGAGACAGTGCCGTCAAACTGCAAGGTTAGTTACCCTACCTTTGATCACCTACCTCCTACTGACATCAAAATCTAGGCGCCATACGTAACTACATGAACAGCTAAACTGATGCACCCAACCTATCAATACCGCGGCAACCTTTTTAAATTTCCACCTTCGGACACCGTTACTTTGCCATGATTAGCCAGTTCATTGCCTATCACTTTGGCGGCGTTCTTATCCCTATCCCTTTAGAAAGATATCCTCGCGAACACAACCTCGGCCCAATTTCAATCCTGCCGACTGCGAGTACTCTGGCCGGGAAAGCGTTCGGCTTTCTACAGGCCGAGTTACGGAGCGGGGAGGTCGGCTTCTCTCTTGTTAATTGCTTGTGATTCTGAGTTATTCGAACATCTTTTAAATTGGCATCTTCATTGAATATCATCTTTGATTTGCTATGGTTACTGTATATCCTCTTTTTTGTTTCTTAGGTAGTGCTAGGCGTTTTTTGTCAATTAAAACCAGATATTTCAAAATTTAGAATAATTCTACCTTGTAGCGGCCATTCATAGTTGAACCAGGTATCTACTGCAGGCAAGGCATAAAAATAGAAGATGATTACCTTTGATACATGCCATAACTCCAACAACAGATATAGAATAGACCAGACATTTCCTACAAAACCCAAACCCAACACACCCGAAAAGTCATATATTACCTTTTTGTATCATACAAGTTGATGATGATCACTCTATCCTACAAGATCTCGATATTGTTGAAAATACACAAGTGTCAGGCACATGCCTCAACCATTCCACATCCCCACCATCCCCACACATAGAACGAACCCCTACTCATCCACCCGGTAAATAGCATCCGCAACCTTAGCCACCTGCCACATCTCCTTAACATCATGAACGCGGACAATATCCGCCCCACCAGCAACACTAGCCGTGACAGTAGCAGCCGTGCCCCAGTTCCGCTCACTAGCCTTCTCAACACCAGTAAGCCTCCCAATGAACCTCTTCCGACTAGGTCCCATCAACCACGGGAAGTACTCTAGTCCCTGGACGCCCGTGCGGAATTTCTGCAGATCACGCAGGATAGTCAGATCGTGGGGCTGGTTCTTCGCGAACCCAAGCCCGGGGTCTAGGATCATTCGCCAACGACGGATGCCCGCTGCTTCGGCGGCGGCAATGCGCTCGAGGAGCTCGGCGCTCACGTCCTCGACCACGCCGTTGGGGTAGTCCGTTAGCTGGGTCATGGTGGACGGCGTGCCGCGCATGTGCATGAGGATGACCGATTTGCCAGTGCGCGCCATGGTAGGGAGCATGGCTGGGTCCAGGAGGCCGGCGGAGACGTCGTTAATGATGTCTGCGCCTGCGGCGCAGGCTTCCTCGGCGACGCGCGCACGGTATGTGTCAATGCTGATGGCGATGTTGGCGGCTTCGGGGATCGAGCTGCGGATGTGTCGGATTGCGGGGATGACCCGGGCTAGTTCTTCGGCTTCGCCGACGGGGACGGAGCCTGGGCGGGTGCTTTCGCCGCCGATGTCGATGATTGTGGCGCCGGAGGCGATGAAGTTGCGGACGGTGTTGGTTAGGGTGGTTAGGTCTGTTGGGGAGTGTGTGCCGCCGTCGGAGAAGGAGTCGGGGGTTAGGTTTAGGATGGCCATAATGTGGGTTGGGCGGTTGGGTTTAGTGGAGTGCAGTGGGGGGAAGTTCTTGGATATGTAGGTTGTGGCATGGGGGGTAGGGTCTGGTGGAGGGAGAGATTTGAGATGGGAAAGATAGTTTGTACTGTGACCTGGGAATGGGGGTCGTTCGTGAGGGATGAGTCTGGTGGGTTGTTGTTAGGTCTCTGATTTGTGGTATGGCTTGTACGGCACTTACTGGCAGAGAGGGCGTAGTACAAAATCCCGTTCGAGCATTAGCTTGTGAGGGATGTTGAGGCGGTCATGGGAGAAGATCTGTTGATCGTAGAGGAGGAGATCAAGATCGATGGACCGGGGGCCCTTGTCGATCAGCTTCTTCCTTCCTAGTCCAATCTCAATCGATTGGAGGGTATCGAGGAGCTCCAGAGGTGCTAAGCTGGTTTCCACCTACCAGTTGGGAGTTAGAAGAGCTTGCACAGTTCACAGCTACACTAGATGGTGACTGACCTCGCAAACCCCGTTCATGAACGGATCTTGATCGAGGACATACATGGGAGCGGTCTCGAACAGCGAACTTGTCCGCCTAACTCTGATATTGGCTCTCTCCATTTCGGAGCATGCCTTCTCAATCATCTCTACCCGCTCTCCGACATTGCTTCCGAGGGCTATAAAAGCCCGATGAAGCGGAGGATTACACGGATTCATCCTGGTATTGAATGAATTCAATGAGCTAGTGGAAACGCCCCTGGTGGATGCGGACGATCTTAGAGATCCATGGCTGGAGCTGCCCACATTAGCTTTGGACACGCCCGACTATCACGTCGTCCAGCCACTCCGAGATCTGATACACAAAGTATTAGTTTCTGTGGCTACATAAAGGCGGTATGGTACAAGCTGATGCTTGATTGGAAACAGGTTTCAGTTGTACTCCGGAGGAACTGACGACCGGATTTGGCCGTAGCGAGCACTTATAAACGCAATTGAAGTAACATACTTGTACCACAGATAGACAGATTTCTACCAGTATGTTAGAGGAGAGAGTTTATCACGAATATTGTCAAAGAAGACCTGCCTCGTTGTCGGGCCCGCGCAGAATCTCCTATAGACCGGCACACAGACCTTGCTGTGTCGCAGGGTTGGAAACAAGCCTGAATTGAGAGAAGGCCATGGCCCACAGCGCGGAATGGTTAAGGTTAGGGATGCAGCATTGGGATGCCAATTCTTGATTGACACTGGTCTCATACTTTCTGAGAAATGTGCAGCCCTGGCGTCTATCAGTAGATCTTCTATGACTCGTCCAAATAAAAAGTTCAGGTCATACGTCATGCATGGGTTCGGGTGCTTTTTCGGCAGCAGAATCAGCTGATGCACGACACCTGAGGCAGAGCTCAGCCGGGTGACTAATAAACTTCTGAAACCCCGCCTGTGAATCGGCCGACCAGTCAAGCACTAAACCCAAAAAGCGCTGGTAACTATGGGGTAATTAAGTTCATTCGGAGGTCCCGTGTCAAAGTTGCAACCGAGGCTGTCATCTTCATGCTTCCTCCTCGGTTCGCCGTATCCTCTTCTTCTCCTATATTTAGGACTTGTTTCTCCATGCTCTCCACATATTATCGTTCCTGATCATCTTCACTACATCTACTTTTTGATTCTCGGTTGCTTTCTCTTCTAACGTCCCACCCTCAACCATGGCTTCTCCTCGTAAGCTCCCACCGTCTTTCTGCCCTTCCATCATGTGATTGAGAGCTGTGGCAATCCGCCTGGATAGATTTGCTAATCGCAGGTTTCGACAGAGAAAATCCGTACTACCATCACGGATCTGCTCAAGATCCAACACCCTATCCTGCTGGCAGGTATGAACGTGGCCGCCGGTCCTAAGTTGGCCGCAGCGGTCACCAACGCCGGTGGCCTCGGTGTCATCGGTGGTGTTGGCTACACTCCCGACATGCTTCGTGAACAGATTGCAGAGCTCAAGAGCTACTTGAACGACAAGAATGCGCCTTTCGGTGTCGACCTTTTGCTTCCGCAGGTCGGAGGAAGTGCACGAAAGACCAAGTAAGCTTCCCTGTACCTAGGACTCCTTGTGGGATGCGAAAATGCTAACCAACCGGGCCTCAGCTACGACTACACCAAGGGAAAGCTTGACGAGCTTGTGGATATCATCATTGAGAGCGGTGCTCGCTTATTCGTTTCGGCCGTCGGTGTCCCTCCCAAGCATGTCGTGGAGAAGCTCCACGGTGCTGGCATCCTGTGCATGAACATGATCGGACACCCCAAGCACGTTCAGAAGGCTCTTGATGTTGGTGTAGATATCATCTGCGCCCAGGGTGGTGAAGGTGGTGGTCACACTGGTGATGTTCCGACTACCGTCCTCATCCCTACCGTTGCCAAGCTGTGTCAAGGCAAGAAGAGCCCCTTGACTGGTCAGCCCGTGCAGGTCGTCGCCGCAGGTGGTTTGTTCAACGGTAACTCGGTTGCCGCTGCTCTTATGCTTGGTGCCTCTGCTGTCTGGATCGGTACTCGCTTCATCCTGTCCGATGAGGCTGGTGCTCCCGTTGCTCACCAGGAGCCGTTCGCACTGCCGGATTCGAGGACAATGTCCGCACCATTATCTTCACTGTAGGTTTTCGGGCATTCCACGACGTGTACATTCTCGCTAACCAGTTTATAGGGTCGTCCCCTTCGTGTTCGCAACAACGCCTACATCAAGAACTGGGAAGAGAACCGCCAGGAGGAGATCAAGCAATTGACCTCCAAGGGTATCATCCCTGTCGAGCACGACATGGAGAACCTGCCCGATGACGTTGACGACGACACCCTGGACAACGCCCGTCCCTTCCTGATGGGCAAGGTTGCTGCTGTTGTCAACGAGAAGAAGTCTGCCAAGGCTATTGTTGATGAGCTTGTTAATGATGCCTCTGATCTGCTGCAGAAGGGCCACAAGATGCTTGCTAAACTGTAAATAATTTCATTCTTAATGGCGCACTCCGGGTATGAGGATGGTGTATATACATGTTGATTTTCATGACCATTTATACTCGTTAGCGTTCTCCGTTACAATTTTCTGTTTTGCTTGAGAGTACTACAGCAGCCGGGCTGTACCACGATTCAACTGCAGCTGTAAATAAAACTCTGGTATCTGCGATTTTGTGGGACAGAAAGAAAGGCCATAGATTACCAAAGACTACCTACCAAGCCAGACGGTATTGAACTTGCCTTGAGTACCTTCATACCAAATAAAGCAACCTATCTTCTAGGAGATATCCGGCAAAATAATGATCCCGACCGAGCCCAAGAATTATGCAACCGGCTCGGCAAGCCGGACCCGTGCAAATTTCTCTCTCCACCCAGGCCCGACCATGAAACCGACCGAACATGGAACTGTCCCGTAAATATCAGCAGGACGATGGGGAACAGTGGCAAAAAGCCGCTGACTCATCGGAAGGAAGCAGTCAACTCTTAACAGACCATGTTATACAAATCGTCAAACGGATACTCAAGCCGTACCCGAACACAGTACCTCAGTGATTCAGGTCGTGGCAGATTACTATACATGACAATTCCACAAGCAACGCGCTTTATGCAACCCCTTGAAAATGGAGAGGGAGTTTAGCGGTAAGGACTTAAGCTGAGCTGCCGAGGTGCTGGCTGTGGAACTTCTGTGGCGGGTTTTTTTGCATGCGGGTGGGGATTATGGGTCGGGGTTGATCCACTTAAGGTTCGGATTAGGGCATCTTATGTTTCCTGGTGTCTTCGTGGAGGTTACTGGTGTGTATACAAGTACTGCTTGGAGTGTTTGGGTTGGGTTCAATTATGGGTTGGAGTGTGAGAGAGGGCGAGGAGGATGGTTATGTGAATGCTAAAATTTTGAGTTGTGAACAGTGGCACTGAAACCTCATGCCATATGGGGAGTGGTCTAATATGTGGCCAAAACGCGCGATGTAACATGGTTGCTGCATGTGAGAATCACGATATGATGCCTGAGGATACAGACAGACTCGTTAGTATACTAAGATGCGTTCAATACTTCTGACTGGGTACTCCATTACTTCGATATATAAGATAGGTGAGTACCTGATGTATTTATTTCTTTCATGGGACATAACTAGCCGGTTGAGACAATGGTACACCCAAATGATAGTTTCCAGCCGCGTCCGGGGCATATACATATGAGCAAATCTGAACTTTCAAGGGAAGATATAAGGGTCTAAAACACTGGGTATCCACTCATTATCTTGAACATTTGCTGGCGAAGCCATCTTTGATATTCTCTGACCCAAACACACATGGTTAGAGCTGCAGCTGCGCCAAGGACAATATCATAGCTTGTCTGTTTGTATGCCTTATCGGAGACGGCGATTACCGAGCTGTGAGTTGGAGCTAGAGAGATCGTAAGTTTCCGCTGGCGCGGGGTAAGCAAGAGATCTGGAGAAGGGAGGTGGATGATCCCTGGACATGACGGCCTATGTAGTATAGTATCATCATCATATAGAGTAGGGTGATGCTCTTGCAGGGAAGTGAGGGATCTAGATAACGTAGTCAATCACGTTGATATCAATAATGAGATATTATCTCAGCATCGTGTCTTCGGGACCTATAGTGTCGAGTTGAATGGAGCCTGTGATATTAAAGTACTATAAACAATCTATATTGAATGTTGTCGGGGAAGCCAGGATCCATCCTGTATTGGATAGTCAGCTTGTGTAGGACGGTATCGGTGTTGTCCGACACTGTCATGAAGATATTAAGAGCCGTATTATCAGTGAGCAATGCGAGATAACTGGGATCGATAGCAAAAGCTTGATTCAAAGCCAGTGATATGGGTGGTATCAGTGACCGAGATTATCAGGAACGGTGCCTATCAGCAGCGAAAGTCTTATCAGTCACGTTGCCACTCTTGGTGGGGCCCACATGGCTTGTCAAAATTTGCAGCCAATCAAGGAACTCTCGATGGTGCTTGGCCCTCTGAGAGAATTTCCTATCCGCCAATCAGAATGGTTATTAGAAAGCTTGTCGATCCATGATTCGTTGAAAAGGCCCGTTAGGAGAGGCAACCTTAGGGTTAAGGCACAAGTGGATCCCCGACGGTGTTCTCGAAACGAGTAAAAAAAGGCTTGACCTGGATTTGGGAAGGCACGCGACAAGTGAACCCAGCGGAAGTTACGCGGTCGCGGCAATTCTCGCTGGTTTGAGATCGAGTGGAGATGTGTGGGAAGAATTTGTCCTAGTCCTTCCGACCAGATATTTATTCCGAGCTCCCCCCATCCTCTGACGCAGAGGAAAAAAGAAAGAAAAAGGAAAGATGTGAACCTCAGCTTGAATACTTCCGTTCCCCTTCCACTCCCCTCCAACCCTACTTGGTCGGTCTCAAGAGCTATCTAGCTCTCCGACCCTCCCAGTTCTTAAGTTCCCTCCTTCATTGGTGGGGATCTTCATCAACCAGGAAATCGCCTTTGAAAAAAAGGCCTTATCACACGACCAAATCCAGCACGATGTTCGGAAAGAAAGATCAAGACCTTGAAAAAGGTCCTCAGGTGGCGAAGACAACGTTGGACACCAGCAGCGATGGCGCCGTACCCGGGGAGACGTTTGTATACGGTGATTCACTGTATGCGAAGCTCCAACGACTCGCAGGGAAGATCAACATTGAGCAGCGTGGAATTGAACGGGTACCACCAGAGGAGCAAACGGATACGTCGTACTTCAATATTGGCAGCATGGTGTGTTCATGATTCCGTTGCGTTAATTTTGTCTATGCCAGCTATTATCTGGTATTCCAAGACTGCCTGTCCAACTGACCCAACACGCAGTGGTTGGCGGCCAACATGGTAGTCAGTTCCTTTGCCATTGGTGTCCTCGGAAAATCCCTCTTCGCTCTTGGTTTCGTCGACGCCATCCTGGTGAATCTGTTCTTCAACCTGTTGGGCATCATGACTGTGGGATTCTTTTCGTGCTTTGGCCCTCCTTTCGGCCTACGACAAATGGTACTCTCACGGTTCTGGTTCGGATACTGGGGGACCAAGTTCAGTGAGTATATCTGATTCATGCTACTATGTTCTCGAAAAACAGCCACTAATACTCGTCTAGTTGCCTGCCTCAACGTTTTGGCCTGTATTGGTTGGTCCGCAGCCAATGCAATCGTTGGTGCTCAGCTCCTCCATGCGGTCAACACCGACGTCCCAGGGTTTGCAGGTGTTCTAATTATCGCGTTCTGCACCTTTATTATCACTTTCGCCGGATATAAAGTCGTCCACATGTACGAATACTGGAGTTGGGTGCCTACATTTATCGTCTTCATGATCGTCTTCGGCACATTTGCCCACTCCGGAGACTTTGTGAATATCCCCATGGGCGTCGGAAAATCCGAACTGGGCAGCTGTCTCTCCTTCGGCTCAACTGTGTACGGATTCGCTACTGGTTGGACCAGTTACGCGGCTGATTATACGGTGTACCAACCCAGGGACCGCAGCCGCCGCAAGATCTTCTTCTCAGCGTGGGCTGGTCTGATCGTTCCTCTGATATTTACACAATTCCTTGGAATCGCCGTTATGACCGCCACCAGTCTCAACGATGGTGACAATAAGTACCAAGCCGGCTACACAGCTTCCGGAAATGGAGGTTTGCTCGCTGCTGTTCTCGAGCCTCTTGGGGGATTCGGCAAGTTCTGTCTCGTGATCCTTGCCCTTTCCATTGTCGCCAACAACTGCCCCAACATCTACTCCGTCTCCCTTACCCTCCAAGTTCTGAGTCGCTATACCCAAAGAATTCCTCGTTTCATCTGGGTTTTCCTGGGTTCCTGCGCCTCAGTGGCCATTGCCATTCCAGGATATTCCCATTTCGAGACTATCCTAGAGAACTTCATGAACATCATTGCTTATTGGCTCGCCATTTACTCCGGAATCTCGCTCACTGACCACTTCGTTTTCAAACGTGGCTTCGGTGGATACCGCATTGAGATATATGACAAACCCAACAAGCTTCCCCCAGGCATTGCGGCTGCGGTTGCTTTCGGCTTTGGTATCGCCGGCATGGTCACTGGAATGAGCCAGTCGTGGTGGATCGGACCGATTGCGAAACATGCGGGTGCACTACCCAGTGGTGGTGACGTCGGGTTCGAGTTGGCGTTTGCTTTTTCGTCGGTGTCCTATATCTTCTTGAGAACGGCTGAGTTGAAGGTGTTTGGTCGGTAATTGTTCGGTTTATTTTCTTACGTTTGGGGTATGGGTCTGTGAATACGTTCTATTTTGATGTCTACTACGTCGTTCTTGACGGCATCGACCGTTCTCTTTTGAGATGTTCGGTTGAATTTTGATACTGCGAGTCATGTATATATGTGTTTGTAATTTAGATGTGAATATACCGTGTGTATATCTTTCAAGCACGAACGTAAAAAATGAGTACCCCGGTATACAGCTCCAGATATCTTGCTTCACAAGCAATGTAGCATTGTTGGTGGACTTGTTGACGCCTCAGGGTCAGACCTAACGTGTTGGCCCTAGAAAGCGTCGATATCCCGAATCTACCTATCAGACATCAAATCCTGAGGATCAAACCCAAGTCTACATTACTAAAGAGATTCTATATTCATGTCCATGAATCCAAGTACAATTTGTATACACCTACATGGAGCGGTATTATTGAAGATTATATTGAAAACTTCAGAAGGCCGCTAAGATCTACTCTAAGAGAATTCGTAGCACAACAATGATATTCCATTTGCTAGTGGTATTGCAGTCCATTTGCCAGTTTGTTGAGATGTAAACGAAAACATGAACAGTCGTTGGCAGGAAGTCTTCTGGCAATATCCTTTCCCTTCATCTCTTCATGTAGTCCAGTTTGGACCATCTCAGTTGAGATGAGCGCTGTACGCGAGATCAACACCAAGGCAACTAGTATCAGCTGTCAGTTTCACTTTCACCTTCCACTTCCAAAGCATAACTATAGACCTGAACAACCACTATTGCCTTCTGGGCCTCGAAACAAGGTTGTCCGCATAATCAGGAGAGGATGCCAATAGGCAGATGATCCGGTATATTTTGCAGTTCTCTCCATTAGCATACCAAGAGTGTGGAGGTTGATTACCTCTGATCGATTTAAGTCAGTATGCAACCTCAGGGATATAATGAATTGAGTAGCTAATGAATGTCTATATTGGAAGACTAGAAAGTGTCATGTTACTATGTACTACTCCGTAGTAGTCGTTTTATATACCGGCCAGTACGGCGTACTTCCTTGTTATATCCATATAGCTTAAATACGAGTTAGTATATAGCCAGTAATATATCACATGTGTAACAAAACTATAAAATCAAATTGGTTCATGTCTTTGCAAGACTTGATACACAGAGTAGGGTTACGAAGGGATGGTCCAGACGGCATCACGTGAGCCCAAGTCCCCCCGGGCACAAGCCACCCACTGCGCCACAGGTCTTTGCCGCGCCGAACAAATCCACAACGGATCTTTCGTTGAAATCCTAAGAAATTCAGCAACATTTGCAGATCACCACATAAAGCACAATGTCCAAACTAGCAAAGTAAGTGCGACCGGACCCCATAAACCCGCGTCGGCGGAAGTCCCCTGACATGAAAATTTTGCAACTTTCTGCAGCCGCGCCGACTGGGCCGACGACGAGGAGTTCGATGACCCCTCCGCGCTCCCCGCGCAACAAGTCACAACGAACAAAGATGGCACCAAGACCGTTGTGTCGTACCGCTTCAACGACGAGGGCAAGAAGGTGAAGGTCACCCGCCGGATCAAGACCACCGTCGTGCGGGAACATGTCAACCCCCAGGTTGCGGAGCGGAGGTCCTGGGCCAAGTTCGGTCTCGAGAAGGGCCACGCTCCCGGACCCTCGTTCGATACTACCTCCGTCGGTGAGAACATCGTTTTCAGACCCAGCATCAACTGGAAGGCACAGGCCGCGGAGGCGGAGAAGAACGGCGGCGAGAAGGGCAGCATGAAGGATCAGCTCAAGGACAAGAAGGTCAAGTGTCGTATTTGCAGCGGAGAGCACTTTACTGCCCGTTGTCCATTCAAGGATACCATGGCGCCCGTCGACGAGCCTACCGGTGGCGCTGGTGGCGCTGGTGAAGCCGATGAAGCAGCCGGTGCTGTTGGCACCGGATCTGGCAGCTACGTGCCTCCTCATCTCCGGAAAGGTGCTGCTGGCGGCGGCGAGAGGATGGGTGGCAAGTTCGAGAAGGACGATCTGGCGACTCTGAGAGTTACAAACGTGAGTTTTCTTACCCTACACTTTTTTTTCCTTTTCCTCTATCTATGTCATGTCGATCCTAACCACGAGCAACAGGTATCCGAGCTGGCGGAAGAAGGAGAACTCCGCGATCTGTTCGAGCGCTTCGGCCGCGTCACCAGAGTCTTCCTCGCCAGAGACAGAGAGACCCAACGAGCCAAGGGCTTCGCTTTCATCAGTTTCGCAGATCGCAGCGACGCTGCACGCGCCTGCGAGAAGATGGATGGCTGTACGTTCCTCCCCCATTTCTCCCAGTATCAAAGAAAATACACCAAAAGAAGAAAAAAACCACCAAGGAAAAAGAGAGAGAGAGAGAGAGAGAGAGAGAGAAGCAAGCTAACAACCCTCCTAGTCGGTTACCGCCATCTTATCCTCCGCGTCGAGTTCGCGAAGAGAACCACATAAACCACCCACTCCGCATACCATTTCTTCTTCTCGTTCCGGTTTACGACACTTTTGGATCTTTTCGTCAGGCGGGCTTCCTTCCTTCACGGCTGAGGAATCTTTTCTTTGTAATGTATGAACTGATCGATAATGATGATTACTGAAAGGCATCCAAACCGTGTCATTTACATTTGCTGCTTGTCGATTTCTACACAAAGAAAAGTTACGGTTCTAGAGGGGGGAAATTTCCATTTTACCTTGTGTCCCTCCCTCTTCTCTTTCCTCTTCCCTTAAAACTCCTCCCAATCTCAAATATGGATAGCAAATGATAGACCAAAAGAAAAAAGTTGGCAGAACCACGCTAGACACCAAAAGAGCAAAAGCACAAGTAGTATCCCAAGTTGAACCCACCCCCCAATACTCAAACCCAACCTCAACCCCCTTTAGAAACGGCATCCGGTCGTCGACAATAACAAATACCCACAACAACAACGAACAACAACCTAGAAAACAAAAAGAACCCCTTCCCTCCCAAAAAGGAAAAAGGAAACCAAACTCTAATCCCAAGGCCTCCCCCCGAACCATGGACGATCAATTCTTACGACGCACCCCCCCGGAACCCATGTCTTGAAGAACATTAAGCCTACCTGTGTGACAGCGGGTGGGCCGTAGCCTGGACCGAGGATGGGTGAATATGAGGCAGACATGTGTGTTATCTGTCTGCCTCTCTCTCTCTCTCTCTCTTTTTCTCTTTCTGTGTTTGTGTGTGTTCGTGTTTATGTTTAATAATAGACGTGGGCAACCCCAAGGCGGTTTGTGTGAGATGAGGAGGAGGCTTAGATCCCGGGATCGAGGAGGAAATGGAGATTTGTCTGACTCTGATGATGCTTACGAGGCTGGGTACTTTTGTTGAAACGGGTTTAGGGGATGTGGTTTCAGGTCTGCGTACTTTTGTAAGAGGTAGGGAAGGTCGAAGGTACTTAGGACTCGAGTGAAATTGGGAGATGGGGACGCTCGGGTGCGACGTAGGCAAGTAGAATTCCAGGAGGGGTTTGATTTGGATTTGGATTTGAGTGTTTTAGTGTAATTTTTTGGTTTTTTCTTTCTTTTTCTAGAAGTCGAATGTCCGTTGTACGTATATACTGTCACTTATTTTTATTTTATTTTATTTTTTTCCCCTTTCTTTCTCGGATGGGAACGCCTGCCAGCTACGAGACATGCACAGCACAGCACACGCAACGGTACATACGCGGGAGAGAAGCCATCGGGGCTAATTCCTAAACCCTCACCGCAGTGCCGTGTGGACCTGGACTTACATGTGCGAATATATCTACAGACAATGGGCTGGGGATTTCCAGGATACCACGCTCTGTGGCGATGTTTGGACCGGTTTCGTCGACCGAACGATGAAATGGCGGTATAGCGTAGCATCACCCGTATGAGCTGAGTGTAACGCAGGGTCAGGACCGCCAGGAATCCGATCAGCTTCGTATCTCTCATCCAATGGATGGGATGCTCGGTGATACTGGGAAGGAACGTGAAAGAGCCCGGGTCCAGTAAGTCCGGTTACATCGCAGCCGGACCTGGGATTTATCGGGCTCGTCGTCGTCACCAGTTTCGTGGATGGGATTCTCAGAACGGGCGAATCGTCGATATTCCAAATCACGGCCACAGCCTGTTGGCTCGTGAGCAGATTTTCACGTCCGTCTGTGTCACTCAAGCGCCCCCTTTGGACTGGCAGCTGTCATGGACGAGTAGGAAGCTCTGAGTTTGGGCGGAAGTCAGCATGGCGGGCCGTCGAATAGGTTGCCATCGTCCGAGGTTCAAATTAATGCCGCTAACGTAAATAAGGTATAAACGGTTGTGTCTTTGTTGTACTGGCTGGGTCAAGTTTGACTAGCTCAACAATAGTCTTCCTGCGCTGACTCTTCATCTTCATTGGTTTCAGGATCTTTCTGGTCCATGGAGCAATTCGTTAGGGATCTTCTTTAGCGCAACGAGGACGAGTTAGCGTGGTCGACGTGATCTGGGACAATACGAAAGGCGTGCCAGTCGTGGGTCCAGTAAAGGCAGAGCGCAGGACAACTGACCTCTTAAGTTATGGGAGAATTTTCCAGTGTCCGGATGAGAACCCACGTTGTAACCTACAGTATACGGCCATGGTTCCTATGAGGAGCCGCCAGATACCTCAAATGAAGCTTTTTGAATGAAATTGTTGCGTGTCAGCAGGTAATATCTGGCGAGAATTGGCACCTGTTGGAGTCACACAGACAGGACCGGATTCGGCAAGGGTCAAAGAGTGGGAACGGGAAAAGTTTCTTTTCTAACAAACAGACCCAGATGTATGGATACGGTCGATGTTGAAGCCAGCCACGGGACATTCTGAAATATCAGGCCGTCACGCGGCAGCTGCGTTAGGAAAAAGCACATGGACAAGCACTCCCTTATCCATGTGAGCGGCTGGTGCAGTAGATGCTGTGCAAAAGATCCGGGGCGAGAGGCGGAACTGCTTCTAACCTGGCCGTCTGGCCTTACGGTCAGTGACGGACGCATGATTCGGAGCATAAGTCTCCACTAAAGGTTCATGGGTCTCGGGCGTAGGGTTGCAATGGCAGTAGACTACAATTCCAAATCAACACTTAAAGCCCACGTCGATCGTGGTCATCGCCAAAGCCTCCGTCAATATGGCCAAGAATTCTAGTATATCCCCGCTCATCGGTTACCCTGGCATCCCGTTGGGGCGGACAGTGGAGACAACAAGCCAGTTGAGGGTCCAGACAGGACATATCTGGCTCGAGAGAGCGTGATGGGCTGACCAGTTTGGTATCCAGCCAAGACGCGTCGAAGTCAAGGTTGAGGACCAAAGAAAGCGTGATGAAGATCGCAATCACGGTAGAAAGTTCAAGCTCCAGAATCTCCGTCTGTCAATGGGTTTCTTCTCAAGCGTGGAGACTGCAGGGAATCCCGGAAATAATGCCCGACTGGTCTGGACTCGCGGTTCCTTTATCTGGACGCTGACTCGTGGGAAGGACAAGATTTGTTGCCTTCTCGCAATGGAGCCAGAGTTTCCATCGGCCAGCTGCAGGTCAGTGAGTAGTATCTCACTCTCCGCCCAGGGCTGGTCAAGGTAAATTGAAAACCAAAACCAAAAAATAATAACACATAAATAAATAAAAAATGCGGTTGTACAGGCACATTTCAAGAAAAGGTACCGGTCTAGTACCGGCCACTAAGCTGGATGTGGCAAGAGCATGGGTGAGAACGTTGTATCCACTCGTGGGGCTTTCTAACTGGATTGGATGGCTGAAGTGAGTTGTAGTATGGTCGGTAGGAGTAGACCCGAAGCTAAGGCTGGCAACGTATTGCAACTTTTCCCACATGAGTAGGAGTCTAATGGAGGGTCAAAGTTTGGCCTAGAACGATCAAAACCTTAACTGACCATGGAGATGAAGCCGATTGCCCCCTCGTCCAAGCGACAACAAACGCGCATTCAAGAAATAGAGACAGCGAAAGAGGCGGGCGAACATGATCATCGTAATAGTAATAATAATAAGAAGAATAATAATAATATTACTACTACTACTACTAAAACATAATAGTCAAAAATCGTCACAAAAAGAAGTGACCCTTGATGGTAGAGATTTAGTCAGTCAATAAGAGAGCTGAGGGGAGTTAATGATTAACCTTCTTTTACAATCAAGAACGGATTTACAATCCCTGTCATCTCATCAAACCAACAACAAATGAAGGACTTTTTCGAGGATGGGTTACATAAGACGAGGATAGTCGGTTGGATCCAGGAACATGGGTCAATCTAGTCCCATCAAAACAAAAATAGAAAGACGATTAATTCACCCCCAGAGCGTTGCCTGTAAATGGAAAATATTATATAATGGAAGGACTTAAGAAGGGAAAAAGCAAGTTAAGAAGGGAGGGAGGTGTGGATAAGTTAGTCAATCATTCCTTTCATTGTTCAAGATTCCGTTAGTACGTAGTTGGGTGAAAGAAGGCTAAAACATTTTAGTTTCGGATGGGAGGGAGTTGGGGGAATGGAAGTACACAGTAGGTATCATGCACTATCCGCCTTTGGGTTAAGCGTGGTGCACGTGCCAGACAAGTCCCATGGGGTGTAGCCTTTCCAAGGTTAGCGCTACAGCGGTTCCTTTGTGTTGGGATCAACTACTTACCACGACAACTCCTCTATCCAAGAGGTAATCTACCAGTACTAGGTAGGGGAACTGCATGGATGACTGAGACACATACAAGGGAAGTGGGAACATCAACCAAAAATCATGACAAAAATAAAGAACTAAATACCAAAGAAAACGGAATTTCAAAAGAATCACTTCAAATGCAATCATCTCCATGTGGACTGGCTATGTTTCTCCTTCTAACCACATTCTCTCAGATTAGTCAATCTACACGCGCTTACATCTTTTCCTATCCTATGATTTCATTTCATATGCATCACTATGCATTTGTTTTTTATTTTTATTTTTCTTTTTATCATGTTGTATTCTTTTTTCCTCTTCTTTTCTTTTTTTTTCTCTCCTCGCCAGAGGCCCTAATTGGCTATCGGTTGCCTGAGATGCAACCTCTCCACCCCGCCACCATCTCCGAGACCCCTGTACGAGGTTACTCTAGGATTCGCGCCGCATCCCGCGTACACATAACATCCTGCACAACATTAACCCCCTCCATTAGGCAGTCTCCATTCGCCAAGTTCAAGTTTTTTGGTCCCCAGTCCTGGATGGATCTAAGCAGGGACCTTCGGCCAATGGTCCTGCCTGGCCTCCTTTCTCAGCGCCATGCATATCGCATTTGGACCAACTAGCTTCCTGCACGGCTGATGATCGGATCCGCCACAATACGATCTCCAAACGAGATAAGAAGAAATCGTGAAAGAAAAAAGAAACGCGTGAAAGGAAAAGAAAAAGAAAAAGAACCCGAGAAGAACTCACAATCATGGTAATAATTGACAGGATGACGCTAATCTGAGATTCAAATGGGACTTCTTTGTGTTGGTCTCACTCTCCCCCGGTTTGTGGGGCCCGAAGTTCTTGAATTCTGGAAACTATGCTGTGTACGGGAAACGCGTCTCTCCACTGATCGAGCTACTCTTACTAATTCGGACTCCTCCAATAGATGTCTCATTGCCTCTCATGGCACAGGTGCTCAAGTGGACATTGTGGGGGGAGGGGCAATAGAACAAGAGAGAGAGAGAGAGAGAGAGAGAGGGTTATCAACCCCGATGCGTGGCTCGATCCATTAACTCCAATGCTTACCGAATATAGCATCCTGGTTGGCGACATCTGGTTTTACGGATGGACTTTCCTAGATGTGCATACTATGGAACCTACCGACCAACCGGTAAGTAGGTATTCTACTATATATGTACCCATACAGCCTGCATGATTCAGTCGGCTCTCCGGCGCCGGTGTCGGTGAGCGACCGACTCCATGTCCATAAGGGAAGGGTGTGTTTGAAAAGGTAAAAAAGAATTAAAAAAATCTAAAAAGAAAAGAACAGAAAAGAAAAAGATATTTTTATTTTCCCAACTGTTGGTTGGAAACCGTCGATCGCCTGATCTCTCTCATTCATGCAGGAGTTGGTGCTCGTGCCTCGAGCACCCGAAAGTTCTTTGGAACGGCCCCAAAGAGGCGTCACGTCTAGAACATGGATCCTCTTAATGGGTCCACCGGCCCCCTGCCTCCCTTATACCAGCATTTTACTGACCCATTCTACGAGTACCTCTGTCATGGTTGGTTGGTAAGGCCCATTGCCATGGCTGTCTGCGGCTGCCTAAGCTCAGTAGTGTCCACTGTCGACAGCCTCTGTCATGCGACTGGGGTCTGCACGGGAGTTCCGGGGCTATGATCGTCGCTACTAATCCTTTCTAGCGCCATCTTAATTTGCTTTGCTGCACTCTGCCGTTGACCGGGTGTTCACGCTAGAACAGCTGACTTTACCGGCAGTGGTCTGGTTAGAAGCAGTTCGGCCGGCCGACTAGCGTCCAGCTGAATCATACCAACGCTGGAGTTCATTTTTCCCCCTCGGAACTACTCAAAGTTTGTGCAGCTCTGATAGTGTCTGGAGTTGGATACTGAGGGGTTGTAACATCGAAATTGGCCAATGCTGTGCTTCTCCAACACTCTGACAGGGTCCAGTGCCCTTTCGCGCTATTTCGGCTGATGCAACAATATTCTCCACGACGGCTCTCATGCTTCATTTTCTTCCAGGGAAGCTAGCAGAAGGTCAAAAGGATAATGAAGGGGAAGAAAAGGCCCCCAAATGATCCTGATTTCATTTACACTTGGACCCCTTTCTGCTGTCACCCATTGTAGTGTTATTGTTATGTGACTTTTAATTTACCTTTGTTTCTATTTTTCTTACTTGAAATATCTGTTGTATAAATGCAGATGCAACAAAATATCTCTCGTTTTACGGTTTTGGTTAGTTCTGGTTTGTGGTTATTACGTCTGTCGCCTTTTTTTTTTTTTGTTTTTATTTGGGCCCCGACATGGTCCCAAATTGCACAACAAACTCGTGGCAAGAGTGGTATTCGTCTTCAAGCTTAATCTGGTAACTAGGAGCTATCAGGGCTTGTGCACAACCGTTCTGCAGACAATTCCGCCGCATACCTACAAGGGTCATACACTGGACGTAAAGGAGGTCAGGCTAGAACCGGAGAAAGCAGGCGTGAGTGTGGGTAAAGGGAAAGGAAGGGGAAAAAATAAATGAAATCAAATAAAAAAGGGAGAAAAAGAAAAAGAAAAAAGAAAAGGGCCAACTTGACTTGAGCGAAGCGTTCCATTCGGTATTTGCGAACGAATATCAATCCGACAGATCCCTCGATTTTCGGCCCAAGATTTCCTCATTCCCAGTCGTCGTTCAGTGTTCCCTGTGATAGAAGTTGGAACTACTAGAACCAACATTAAAACCCTTCCATCCAGCCTCCGGGTCGTTTGTCTAGGTGAGGGAAACAAAGACTGACGATTATCAGTTTGATAGTCGATCGTTTGTGGGCAATCACTTTACATATAGCCGTGCAGCCTGGAGTCATATTCTGCAGCAATAAATGCAAGACACTACACCGTTGACTGAATACCGCAACATTTATTCGATTCAGGTATGCTTCTTTCTTTAGCATTTGTCGTGCCCAACATCTTCTCTGCCTGTTCTCCACAGCGTCCATTCCAATTATTTTTCCCACCCAGTTCCCTCCACAAGGGGAAATAAAAGTTCACCCAAAACAGAATAAAACATGTGGCCAGGTTCTTCAGATCTCATTGTGTAGATCCGATATTTCCCCCGTGTGTGGACATGTCTGATTTTCCCTCCCCTTTGTTTTCAAAACGTTCCTATACCTACTTGATTACAGGGCTGTATAATACACTGGTGTACAGCACAGTGTCTGTATTGTTCTCATCGCATGTCTCCTTCGCAGCCTTCAGAGTGCAAATGGTCGCGTCTGTCTCGATTTGTGGGCAGTGAAAATGCAATGATGCCCTGAAGCCGAGTCTCGCGGATGGAACGTGCCATGTTTTCTTTTTCGTCCTCTTTTCCTCTTTGGTTTGGCCTGCTTCTAAACTAGCCTTCAAAAACCCCCGATCACTATTGCTTTTGACGTCCAAGTTCTCTACAAATTCCTGGATCCAACATTTGCATCCATTCGGGGCTTGCGATTGCCAGCCAACTTCTTTGTTTGACAGGACCTTCCTACCTACTGTGTCTCTCCTGAAAAGTCCATACCCTCCAACGTCCCACTAGCTTGCCTCGAGCATCCGGCTCAAAGACGTTGACAATGTTTTAAAAGCCAAGCCACCGTGCTAACAAGCTTGAAGGAGAAATTATCGCCGAATAGGAGCGGCGACCACTGTCCTTTTTTTGTTCTTTTCGTTGTTTGGTTTTCTTTTCTTTTTCTTTTTTTTCTCTTCGAGCCGCAGGGTTCTAAATCCAATGAGCAGATCGTTCTGCCATATTCCCTGACAACGTTTTCACTCTATTATACCCCTGTTCAGCGCCATCAGAAGCCTAGTGCTCCTTGGGCGTTACTCTAGCGCTCGCTCAACTTGGGCTGGTCTTAAGGAACCTTCAAGTTGTCCTAAGATCCCAACCCCATCTTCAGTGAGATTATTTTCGGTGGGCTTGCCAATGAATCACTGTAAGTATTCCTGCTACGTATGATTATACCTCGGTTTATTTTATTGGGAATTTGTTATTATTATTATTTTTTTTGGATTTGATTTCAGTTTCTGGTATTTCTTCTGATTGTATTGAATTTTGTTTTGTTTTGTTTTGTTTTCTTTCCCCCCTTCTCTGAATTATTTCTATTTTATTTTATTATTTGTATTATTATTATTTTTTCTCTCTCTCTGTCTGTCTCCAACGTCGGATCTCCCTGCACCCGTGACCCCCCTTCCCAATGGATTGCTTATGACGAGCGATCTACATGAACGTTGATTTTCCCGTCTCGCTCAGGGAATTTGTTCTGTTACACAATCCTGGTATTGCTTCATTACCCTGTATTGATATGACATCAAGGACTGTTGTCGTCTTGGCCGTCAAGGATGAAGACCCTATTTCAATTTTGACTGGCAAATGTCCGATTACCTTCAGTACCTTTTCCACGTTGGCTCTCCTTTTACTCTGGCACATTCGGCTCTCTTGTATATCTGTATTGTGGCTCCCCCATCGGTCTGATCATGTTTCTCTTCACCAGCAGCAACTCTACTGCAGAACTCTTTCCAAATGGACGGTCCAATTACCACCGACAGTGACTATACAGGTGGCCAGCGCCCATTTTCTGGCCCAATCAGTTTTCCCATGGACGATGAGGACCATGGTCGCAGAAGCAGCGCCGTTGGACATCCTTTGGCGCAACCTGTCTCGATACCTGCGACGAACGGTTTGAGATACAACACACAGCAGTCTGCGCTGCAGGATGTGCCGTAAGTTGTCTTTTAATTCAGACTGCCCTTTGTGCTCCACTTTGGCCACTTGCAGTCACTGGCCCCAGCATTCTCCCCCCTTCTCTGAGTGCATTGAATGGCGGTGCGGTGATGTGTTTTGTTCAACTTTTCCAGTTATGTATGATTGTTAGAATCTATTTTTTCTTGTTCGATTTTCCTTCATGTTACTTATTTATCTATGGTTTTACTTGTTTTTCTTTTTCTTTTCTTTTTCTTTTTTTTGCCTGGGTGCAACTTGCATGCATTTGGCTGCTATTCCTCAGGTTGTCTCATAGAACCTCGAAATGTTGCTACAGTTCACTCCTGACTGATTTATATGCGTCGTGTCCTCTTGTGATGCACTGGCGATATGCAGTTCTGCTTCGCTTTTCACAATTTGTTTTTATCTTAGCTCTACCTTGCCTTGTCTATTTGCGAGAAGATGCATGGTTACTAACTCTAGATGATATTTTTTAGCTTTGCAACATCTCCGACAATTCTTATGAGCCCTACTGACTCCTGCTCTGGTTTGTTATATCTATAGCCTGCCACATACTGAAGTTCTATGACTGATGGTTTCCTCCATAGAAACCTTTTCTCCCGCCTCGGGATCAATCTATTCGCATTCACCGGGGCTGCCATTCGATAGAATGCCAGATTTCAGATCTCATCGGGTACCCCCTCTGTAAGCCAGTCACCCTCGTTATTTAGCAGCTAGTTGATGAGCATTGATTGATATGAAATGGTGAGAAGTCAACCACCTACCGGTATTTCTCCTATGCATTCGCAGAGCACGGGAGTATCTGGAAGTGCTGGGCTTCTGGGTAGAAACGACAGTTATCCTGGAACGTACACGCTTCAACGGAGCACATTTCCATCGTTGTCAAGCATTAGTGACATGTCCAGAATGTCGCAATACACCACGACTCCGCGAGTATTGGAAAGCACTATAGACCGAACCTCTCAAAATTTGTTATATGGTCAACCAGGGAACATGCTGATGGAGCCGGTCCAGCGCATGCCACCACCGATGACAGACGCTCCCCCTTTCGGCGAGACTAATGTTATACACCAAATCATCTGCGGCAATCAGACCATTAAAACAGAGATACAAGCTAAGATACATAAGGGGTTCTTTCAGGTCGATGAAAAGTGGACCTGTTATCGGAGAAATTACTTCTCTGTCTCATGTTCTTTCTCACTACACCCATGGACTCATACGCCTCTTTACCTCAAGTATGACCAAGGAACCGAGCGTGTTACGCAATTTGCCATGTCCATATCAGCCATTGTGAATCAACAGTTTAGCGAAGTCCGCGAGCTAGTTCAACACACACCAAAGCGGGATAAACAGTCAGAGAGGAAACCTGGGAAAGTTGTTTTACAGCCTTCTCAACCACCACCATTGGTCCTTAGCCATTCGTCGGGATCTGGTGGCAGTCAGCATACATTTGGTCTAGCCTCTCAATCAGTAGGGATGTCTCTCGACTATAACGGCTCATACAACAGTCCTCCACAACCTTCGCAGCCTCCGACACAACATACCTTTGAGCGCATTCAGTTTCAAAAGGCCACGGCTAATAACGGGAAGCGTCGAGCGCAGCAGCAGTACTACAATCTAGTTGTCGACCTTTACGCAGAAGTTGCAGAGTCCCAGTGGATCAAGATTGCTAGGAAGCTGTCACATCCAATGGTTGTGCGCGGTCGCTCCCCGGGCCATTACAAAGATGGCCGACGAGACAGCTCTACCAGTATGGGTCCCGATGGGGGAAGCGGTGGCTCAGGCGACGGCAGTGGAGGGGCTGTACTACACCCAGGCATGGGAGCAGCTGCACGGTCTCACTTGGCCCTCATGTCGTACGACTCTTCGCAGCGCGGCGGGCCACACTATGGCCGGGCTGACTACAGCCAAATAGCAACATCTGGCCAGTCCACATTAAGTGGAAGCCCACACATCTCATCGTCGTCATCATCGGCCTTCGATATCGGCGTCCTGAGTGATTCCATGGATCCTCTGGATCCCGTCAAAAGCACGTCAAGCATTGATTCGTATCATGACTCCAGCTTTGGACTCCTGGACGGCCGAAAACCTGAAAGTCAGTTTCGCCACCAACTGCGCCCTTTCGAGTATGAGCCTGTCTCAAAACCTAGTGAGGAACCCAGCACAACCTTTCATGAGCCATTCGATCCGATGATATCCATGATATCAAACGGACAAAGCGAGTCTTCACACTACCTGAAGCACCCACCCAGAATGGCGTCTCATATGTACCATCATCCCACTACCAGCAGCAGCTATGACCCCATTTACTCAGCACGCTCCAATAATAGCAGTCATTATCCTCGGTTCCAGAGCTCCCAGAGCCTATGTGCTTAGCCATGTGTCTCTCTTTGATGCTTTTTTCATTCCTCTTCCTCCTCTTTATTTTGCTACGTCTTCTTCTTCTTCTTCTTCTTCTTCTTCTTCTTCTTCTTCTTCTTCTTCTCTTTTT